ATAGTGTAGTTGTGTAATTTGTATTATATGAATAAATTAAAATAAAAAAAATAATAAAATAAAATAAAATTAAATTAGATTAAATTAATTAAATTAAATTAGATTAAATTAATTAAATTAAATTAAATTAATTGAATTAATTTAAATTATTAAATTCAATTAAATCAAATCAAATCAAATCAAATCAAATCAAATCAAATCAAATTAAATTAAATTAAATATCCCCCCCAAAAATGTTTTCTTCAGGGTCTCAGGAGGATATGATCATATTTTACAAAGTAGTTTGTACTGCTTTTTCAAAGTAGCTTCAGTTCCCCCTCAGGCAGCTTTGCTGTAATTCAGCTTCTTCCAGTGTGAAATAATTGGTAGCTTACAAAGCCATGTTTTCAAAGCAGCTTCCTCGACAGCCTGATGTACAGCGAGGCACAGCAGAGTGGTTTGCACGCCTCTCTTCAGGTAGGAACAGATGTTATCAGGTCATATCTACTGGAATAAGCTTTGTGTTTGCTCCAGATGATTTATTAAAAAATCCTTGAGATAAGGCAAGTGGCAGTTAAGTATTAAATATCTTAGGTTGGTGTTTAGCCTATTAGATGTGTCAGGTCAGTCCCCAGAGCACTTTGTGAAAGCCTCATTATGAAAAACAGGGTTTACTGCATGAAAGGTGTTTAATTGGGGGGGTAGTGTGGTGTTGTAAAAAGTGAGCAGAGTCCAGAGTTCAAACTGTTGACTATTAGTGTGGTTTCAGTCCTGCTGGAGAAACTGAGGCTTTATGTGAAGCTGCTGTTCTGTGTTGACCCTCGTTATTATATAGGACTTTCCTCACGGGGACCGATAGCGTCTCACATAATCATTACACATTATTGTGAATTCTCTTTGCAGTTCCTCCCTGTCATCGTCCTCTTGACATCCATCGCAGTGAGCTGTAAGACAAACCTGACCCATTTGGCACCTGTAAGCCAAAACAAACCACAAAACAGTGAAATGCTTTTTGAAGCACCTTATTCATGAGGTGGGCGAAGGATTGTATCAGGCCGCAGTGTTTCTCAGACAGAAAGCGGTATCGTCTCTCCTCCTCCTTCAGAGCCTCGCAGTGGCTCTCCCTGAGGAACTGCATATACTCACTGCAATCCTGAGGAAACACATAATTACCAGTACATATAGATCTATACTGTGCAAGGACACACTCCAATACACTGGGGCTGAATTTTTGCTCCAACCTGATTGGCTCTTCTCCGCAGCTGTCTCTCCAGAGCCGCTGCCTGTGTGTGGACCTCCATCTCGTAGTGCTTCCTGCTGCCCTGCATGAGAGAGAGAATGAAATGAAAATGGAGACCCATTCATTTTAATGACTTAATGAGCGATATCAATGTGTTAATTTATCAGATAACTCACTCCAGAGCCACACATACTACCCCTCGGTTCATGAGTGTTCCCACGATACACCGCAGTTATTAATTCTATTTTTTATTCCAGGTAATGATTATGAGTCATTCTGTAAGAGTCCCCTTTGACCCTGCTGAAGCACCCCTCACTCACTGATATGTAATCTCTGTCCAGTCTAATGTTGTTATCCATCTCCTGAAGAACCTCTACACTGAACCAGCGGAACTGGAAAGACACAAAATCACATGAAACACTTGAGAAAATGGAGCGAGAAAGACAAGTTGTGACTGATTACTGCTGATGTAACTTACTACTCCCTCCAGCTCAGCGGTGAGTCTTCTTTGGTTCTCAGAGATCTGAATCAGGACATCACCTTAAAGACAATTACATCACGTTATATATTTAATATTTCAGTCATGTTGATAGGTTTTCAATGTAGTGAGTCCTCTAGATCCACAGGTGGTCATTTGAGTAGGCCCCCAGACCTACAAATTGTGTTGTTTGATGTTGTATGGTTACACTCATATACACTCACCAGCCATTTTATTAGGTACACCTGTTCAACTGCTGTTTAACGCATCACATGGCAGCAGCTCAATGCATTTAGGCATGTAGACATGGTGAAGACGAGCTGCTGAAGTTCAAACTGAGCATCAGAATGAGGAAGAAAGGTGATTGAAGTGACTTTGAACGTGGCATGGTTGTTGGTGCCAGACGGGATTTTCAGCACAACCGTCTCTAGGGTTTACAGAGGATGGTCCCAAAAAGAGAAAATATCCAGTGAGCCAAAATGCCTTGTTGATGCCAGAGGTCAGAGGAGAATGGCCAGACTGGTTCAAGATGATAGAAAGGCAACAGGAAGTCAAATAAGCACTGGTTCCAACCAAGGTGTGCAGAAGACCATCTCTGAAGCAACAACACCTTGTCCAACCTTGAAGCAGATGGGCTACAGCAGCAGAAGACCACACCAGGTGCCACTCCTGTCAGCTAACAACAGGAAACTGAGGCTACAATTCACACGGGTTTTCTCACCAAAACTGGACAATAGAAGATTGGAAAAACCACATTCAGATGGAAGCATGGATCCATCCTGCCTTGTATCAACGCTTCAGGCTGCTGCTGGTGGTGTAATGGTGTGGGGGAGATTTTCTTAGTACCAACTGAGCATGGTTTAAACACCACAGCCTACCTGAGTATTGTTGCTGAGCGTGTCCATCCCTTTATGACCACAGTGTACCCATCTTCTGATGGCTACTTCCAGCAGGATAACGCACCATGTCACAAAGCTCACATCATCTCAAACATGACAATGAGTTCACTGTACTCCAATGGCCTCCACAGTCACCAGATCTCAGTCCAATAGAGCACCTTTGGGATGTGCTGGAACGGGAGATTCTCATCATGGATGTGCAGCCGACAAATCTGCAGCACCTGTGTGATGTCATCATGTCAATATGGACCAAAATCTCTGAGGAATGTTTCCAGCACCTTGTTGAATCTGTGACATTAAAAATTAAGAAGGGGGTCCAACCTGGTACTAGCAAGGTGTACCTAATAAAGTGGCTGGTGTGTTCAAAATCTATCTAAAATTTAACAAATAAATTTCCAAATCCAAAAACGTATTATTTACAAAACCATAGACTGTAACTTATAGTCTAGTCTATGTACAAAATGATACAAATATCACATTTTGAATTTGCAACACTCCAGAGTGATAACATATTTTTTTAGTTTAGGAAACAACAGCAGGCAAACAGACGCTTAGTACCCGAATACAATGCCTACAGACCTGTGTGAGAGGCAAACTGGGCTTATAGGTATCTGTAGGCTGCAGCCATACAGTCTTGGCACCCTTTGGGCTCTGGGTGTGTCAGCCTCAGCCAATAACAGCGCGCACAGGTGAGCCCCGGACTTAATTAAGAGGTAGCGACACGCAGCACCACCTCTGGAAGAGGAAGCTGTGAAAATCGTGGACACAGCGCCAGAAAACGCAAATATAGTGACGTGAAATGCCAACAGAGCCACTGGCGAGCACTGACGGAGAGGAAGGGGATGAAGAGCGTCACGGAGTCGGTCCGTCTGCTGCACAGGTAAGAGTCAACACACCTGTGGTTAGTTTAGTTGTAACATTCCTTGTACAGTAGCAGTGTACATACAGGCAGTGTAGGGACAAAGCGGAAGTTTAAATGTTGTGTTTACAATCAGTAACCGACAATTGCTGCATAGTAGCCTACTGCTTTTTGTGTAAGCTTTGTTTACTTGATTCATCACTGTATTTCCTGTGGAGACTTAAAGGTCCAGTGTGTCAGACTTTGGTGCTACCTAGTGGTGAGGGTTGATGACTGCAACTGGCTGCTTTCAGACCTGGAGTTGTCTCCTTTGGTCTGAATCTTTGGAGCTACATTAGGGTCAAATGTTTTGTACTTGAAAAAATAAAATTTGAAACTGAAAATTCATGTGTTGATCTTGAATTTTGAAAAATACAACAATGTATTCAAAATAAAAAATAAGTGTATGAAATGTTTTTTCAGGTTAAATATAATTTTGATTCACTTTGGTAATTCTTTTGAATGAATAATTTATTTTCACTTTTCACTTCCATATGTATTTTAACATTTGAGGTCTTATTTTTTTCAGTTGCATGTTTTATCTTTTCACATTCAGATCTTATTTTTTACAGTTTCAAATCTGTTTTTTTCCACTTTCAGATCTTTTTTTTTTTCAGTTTCAAATCTGTTTTTTGAGTTTCAGACTTTTGACCCTGATGTGGCGTGGGGGGCGTGGCATCAACTGAGAGGGGTGTGGAATCATGAGTGACAGTGTCTTCAGGGAACGTAGGAACTAAAAAAATTCTGTCTCAACACTTATATACAGCATATTCATGTGACTGGCACTGTAAAAATTGCCAGTGACAAACTTCCATTTAGAAATCTGTACTGAGTACTGAGCACCAATTGCGGTGTAAGAGCGATAAATTATGCCAGATTTTGCAGATCAGCAGCCACATTTTAAGTGCTGATATGTCCGATTTCCACATAGCACTGTGAACGCAGCGTACTGTCCACTTTGCAATGATGGCGTCCGGTCGGTCGGGTCAATCTGCTGGAGCCCATACATCCAGCACACAGGTGAGAAATGTTAAGTAAGCTTTGGGAAATCATAACAAATATTAAGGGGTCGTTCTTGTGACAACATACATTTTCGCAGCTCCATAGTCACGGCTGTTGATGCTTCCACATCCAGACGTGTCCCCTGGATGAAACCTTTGAGGTTGGGGAAAAGGAAACAATCCTAAAACACCTCCCTAACATTACTCACCTGGTGCCACAAAAATCACCTGGAGCCAGGTCAGGTGAGTGGGTAGGTGTTTTAGGATTGTTTCCTTTTCCCCAAGCTCAAAGGTTTCATCCAGGGGACACGTTTACTGGTTGAGGAAGCATCAACAGGGCCGTGATGATGGAGTTGTGGACAATCACACTTTCCAGCTCTGACAAATTCGCCACTTAAAAGATGTCACAAAAAAAAGTATGTTGTCACAAAAATGACCCCTTAATGTTTGTTATGATTTCCCAAAGCTTAGTTAACATTTCTCACCTGTGTGCTGGATGTATGGGCTCCAGCAGATTGACCCGACCGACTGGACGCCATCATTGCAAGCGAAGTGGACAGTACGCTGCGTTCACAGTGCTATGTGGAAATCGGACATATCAGCACTTAAAATGTGGCTGTTGAACTGCAAAATGTGGCATAATTTATCGCTCTTATACCGCAATTGGTGCTCAGTACTGTCTAAAACAGATTTCTAAATGGAAGTTTGTCACTGGCATCAATTTTTACACTGCCAGTCACATGAATATGGTGTATGTAAGTGCTGAGTCAGAATTTTTTTAGTTCCTACGTTCCCTGAAGGCACTGTCACTCATGATTCCACA